TCTTACTCATAGAAAATGACCTGAAGCAAAAATTAAAACTAGAAAATTGTCATTTAAATTAAAAAAGAAAGAATATTGTGTTTCATACAACATTGGAGCCCAAAAATGAAAAATTGCTTTCAAAAAGCATTATGTCCATGAACTTAAAAATTGAACCTCCCTGTAGTTGATGGCGCACTAAAATTTCTTATAGGAGCAAAATGCTTCTCAGGCTTAATTGATCCACGAAGACACTCAAAGGAATCTTGTCATAACTCCAGAAAATCCTCCATGGCATATGAGAAGCAAAAACTATAATTGTCAAAATCAAATGGTTTTAGCAATCAACGTGAAGACATTTTATTACTGCATAGGATACTTCACTCCCCATTGGATTTCGGCTTTCATTATGCCTTGATGGTCTACTTATGTAACTTCATCTTATTTAATTTACTACTATAATTTCGAGTTAAGGCTTATTTGACATGACACAAACAACACACTAACCTGTTTTCCCAACCCTACTTCTCCCTACATCTAGATGTTACTTTCAAACCCATTTTCCTCTTTGCTCTTTATTTTCCCAATAGGATAATGTATGACTAGGATTTTAGAAGCCTACTTTTTTTTTTATTCTAATTTCATCCCCAAAATTGTTTGGACAGACTAGTTATGGTTTAGAAATGGTCCATAGGTAGAAAATAGATAGATGTAAGAAGACAAGGCCACAAGCTTCTTGTTTTATTGGCTCCATGACCCAAAGTGGGACAATAAACATACTTCTCTCATCTACTTCAACATTGCTCCCCATCCTCTTGACACTCAAACCAAACAAATAAATGACCTCTATTTTCTTAACATCTTGCTATTCTCCCTTTGTCTCTACAACTTTGGTCCCACCATATCCATTACACCTCTACTGAAACCCTCATTTTATTTACCAGCAATACATGCAATAAAAAATGTGAAAGCTAGTTCAATTTGGGTTTCCTATAAGATAAGTTGGAAAAGGATATGTTCCAGCAAATACAGAAGAATAAACAGTATAATAATTCATTCAATTATAATGAACTACAAAGTCTGAAATTGAAAATAAAAATTCGCAGTAAGAGAACCAACCAAGACACTGATCCTCACAATTGGGATGAACATATAAAAAATGCAACAATTTTGAAGCTATATAACAGAACCATATAGTAATACATACACTGATTTTCTGACGAGTTCCATCTCTATATATTGCATCAATCACAACTAGAGAACCATGATGAGTGTTCTACGAGTTTCGATAACTCGCTGTCTTCAGTATAAAATAGCTTGAATTCCTCTCTCTATTGCTGATCACCTTCGTCATGAGGCTCCGTTACATTGTACTTGGCCGCATTAGAATCATTATAAATAGGTTGTATTGCTTCTTTGGGTAGACGAGGCTCTACTATGATTTCATTAAGAGTCCTAATATCAATTTCATGTTTTTTCTTCAATTGATCAATCTATTTGTATGCCTTTGCAGTTTCTTGTTCAGCTTTTATAGCTCGCTTCTGAAAAAAAGAAATATAGAAAAAATTATAAAATAAAATGTATCATTTAGAAATAGAAATAGAAATGGAAATCCAATAATTTTCAAGTGGAAAATTGATAATAAAGTTCTGCTGGGAAGTTATCCATCCGATATGGAGTATTCAACAAGTAAAAACATGCTAAGGTTATAATTAAGAATAAATCATTGTCCATCAAACTAATGCAAACTTTATTTTGAAAGAAGTTGCAGCCATAAGCAACAAGGAATAATAAGTTCTTAAAATCATGTCTTATATAGTAATTCTGATCTTTCGGTAGAGAGATTAACATCCAAGCTAAGAATGAACCAAGACAAGTATCCTTTGTACACACTATACAGTATCAGGGAAGAGGAGTTTCATAAGAAAAAGAAAATCATGCAAAGTTAATGTTACGCAGCCATAATCATAAATAAGGCTATGAATAATGAAGCAATGTATGTAAAATGTATAGAACTTCATGAATTAACTATGGATGAACCAAAAGACAAGCTGAATTGCTCATATACAATAGTGTCTATATGCCTGTCAAACAAAAACTAAAGGATCTAAATCAATTTACAAAAAATGTATATGAGAATGAGCAAAGATCAGTTAGCTTTCTCTCAAGTGAGGATTCTATTCATGACTACCAAAAATCCTACATGTTCTAAAATCTGTGTCATTCTCACTGAGACAAATGAGTGGCCTTAAAACAAAAACATAGTGTGCTCAAAAATAGTACAGGAAAAATAACCATCCTAATCAAACAAAGGAATAATGTGCTCATAAATCCTCCAAGATATAGTAAAATCCCCGTCACATAACAAGTAATGATTTCTATACACCTGAAGTAAAAATATATCACAAAAATAAACAATAAAGAAAAGCTAGCAAGAGGTGAACTTTTCATGATAGAAAAAATTATCTGAACAAAGCAGGAGTCACACTTGGGCAGCTGCAACAGCTTCTTCTGCTTCTTTGAGTCGTACAAGTACTTCAGCTACGGCTTGTACAGCTTCAGCAGTATCCCGCAATTGAGCTTGAAGCCCTTTATTCTCATCCTTGAGATATCTTCTCTCTTTCTCTTTTTCAGCTTTCAATGCTGAAATTTCAGCTGTAAGAGCATTTATGAACTTAGATTCAGCACCCATTACTCCTGTTTTAGTAGCCGCTTTCTTAAATTCATCTATTGCTTCCTGAATCTTTCTGTGCCTTGCAAGCAATTGAATATGCTTTTCCTCAAGATCTGCACACTGTTCTAGCATGCGTGCATGTCCCTCCATAGCCATCTACATTGCTTTCTTCAACTCTTCTATACATTGCTTTTTAGCATCAAGTTCCTATTTTTTCTTTTCTGCTAAGGACCTGCTAGCTTCAAGTTTGATCCTCAATTCTTCTGCAAGAGATATCCACTTGCTCTCTACCTCAATCCAGTGGATTCTTTCTCGTTCAAGTTTCTCCTCAGCATTATTTTTGGCTGACTCTGGGATTGTAGTCAGAGGTGGTGCTAGATTGGGATCACATGAATAAGTCAATTGCAAATTTGAGTTTTGTTTTCGAGCAAATAATGAAGAAGAGTCTATATAGTATTGTAACTCGCTTCTTAATTCTTGAATCCCTTCCAAAAACACTTCCCTTTCATCCAAATCACAGAAATTCTGATAATGTTCCAGTTGCTCTTGAACTATATTGAGTTCAATTTTTGTCCTTAAAATTTCAGGATGATTCTCAAATTTTTCCTTCAGAAGCTGTAAAAAATAAGGTTAGATATATGCACAAAATATAAATTAATGTTATCTTTAGAAATAAATTTATACTTTGGTAAGTAACCATTCTACCTCAAAGCTTAAGTTCATAAGTAACAACCTAATAAAAGTATTTAAAAGCTACAATAATACCCGTCACGTATCTCATAGTGAAATGGATGCAAACACAGATGCAAACTAAATAAATATAAAATTACATATGAAAAATGAAAACATGTGAAACTTGTAAGGGTTTGAAAGTGAGTGTTTAGCTTTACTACTATGTTAAGTAGATTTGTAACCAAAAACTTAGGCTAATATATTTTTTAGCTCTAACATACCTTATGCTCATGCATGAGGTATACAAATTCTTCTTCCATGAACTCCTCAGTTGGCAAAACACCATCGATAAGGCTTTCAAGGCGCAGAATTTTATCCTCCCTTGTCTGTCCTATAATGGCATTGCATTCTCTCTCATGTTTGTACTGTTGTACCTGCAAAGAAAAGTAGAAAAATGTCACCAATGAAAAAACAAAAAAAGAAGAAAAAGAAAGCATTATATAGTCATTGCTATTTGTTGGTAAAACTAGTAAAAAAAACATACCAAACGATTAAGGTGCTTAATTTCAGAAGTTTGCTTGGCACAGAAGTCCTCTAGTGTCGTTTCCCTCCTAATGGCTCCTGCCAAAACCTTCTCCATTGCCTGACGGAAAAAGAAACATGTAAATGCAAGCAGTCATGATGTTAAACTAATCCAAAATATAGCTAAAATCATTATACTTACTTTTGGAACTGAAGATTGCTTCATGGACTTGTCCGCAGAGTGTGAGTCAACAAAAGGTACCAACTGAAGATTTGAGCTCTCATTCCCCTCTTTGACATCTAGCTACATTCTGTTCTTGCAATGGGTACATAAGAATAATTATGTATCTTCTTTTGGCATCTCACCATTTTGAGAAGTTTGCACACCGATGTCAACTTTGGCAATGGGAAAAACTGGTTTAAAATCAGTGGGTCTTAATGAGAAACGTACCCAAGCTGTGAGAGAGAACAAATAATATTTCCAGCTTCTTTCATGTGTTCCCCGGCAGCACCAGCTAATTTCTGTCTTTCTGACCCAGCTAGATCGACAAGATTTATTCTACTTGTTTTAAACCTGCTTATACCATTTGCCTTGCTGTAAAAGACACAAGAGTTTAACTCAGAAAACATCGATCACAATGAAATGAAACAAAACTCATGAAAAAAACAAAGATATTCAAGTACTCTGTTGTTGTTGCATGTCAATAGATTCTACTCTTACGTCAAAGTTAGTGAAGCAGATATAACAAGCAAAACTTCACAGAATATCAGATTGCTTAGCTGGTAAAGAGTATTCTAATAGATAGACACATATTAATATGCCTTTAAGAGAAACACTTTATGCAATCTGTAACTCATAATTTAAAGAAAAACTACTAATTTTTAAATTGCAGCAGTTATTACCTTGCATCAAGATTCAACAACACAAGTGAAAACACTATGTGAGCTTGAGCTTTCTGCATTTATACTAGTTGCACCTGTCCTCCTGTTTGACAATCCTTGCATCATAAAAACACTGATCATAAATTTAATGCAAGAAAAATTAACAAATCAAACATATTAAAATCAGATATTGAGGGGAGACAGTAATGTTACAAGTGAATAAACCAATTTATTTTCCCCAAAATAATATTTAAGGTCACTAAGATCATACCACTTTTTCCATAACCACCTGTTACTTTCAAAAGGCCACTAAGGTCAACACATCCATAATCGTCCACCTATGTTTACAAACTTTTTCAGGACATTCAGATCATGTAACAGACAAAAATGGTAAACTCCAAATGCAATAGAACCTCAAAGCACAGTTATAGTATTAGCTTATCATGCATAAGATGTCAGATAAACAATAAGAACAGGCTGATGCACATCATATTGTCGTATAAGGGAACAAGAATTTGATTAACTCTATGAACTTTTGAACATTACTAATTTAGACATACATACTTTCTGATGGGCCTTTAGGGTGTCATTGTTACATTATATTGCACACAATTAAATCTTTTCAATATTACATGGCCCAGTGCTTGGCCAAGTTATAGACGCATGATGAACTTAATCAGCCCACAATACAGTCTCAAATGCACTAATGTGAATGGAAAGTGGGAGTTGGGACATACTGTATTAGCAAAATTAGAACTCCCATACTATATTAGCAATCATTAAACAACCAATGTGTAGGAGATGAATGAATTATCTGTCAAAAACACAATCCTAATATAGGGATTATTTTGACCTTACGCTTTATGCCCAATTGGTCTTCAAATCGAAATCCATCCACGTTCAATTCAACTTCCAAACCTTTGTTGATGTGATTACTACAAGTATCAAACATCTAGAAGAAATGAATGGTTAAATAGGTTAGCAAGTATGCCTTAAACCACTCTCAAAAGATATACAAGTTTCCAATTATCTAACTTAGATAATACATTTGTTTGATTGTTGCAGGTTGAGCCAAAAAAATATTTCTTTAAATGTTATGATGAAGTACCTCAATATTCCATAAAAGTGTTCTAAATCTCTAATTATGCTAAAAGGAAATTAATATTATCATGTTTCAGCACTGAAATCAAAGATTAAAGGTATACACTAAGTACCACTGGTTAAATGAATATACATTGTGAAATAACATATGCAGCATTAAGGAATCTGCCTCATTAATGCAGTTGATATGCTTAGGTTGTCAAATAACATATAATCATCTGTATAATCAATTGTGTTCCTAGTACAATATATACGATGTCAATATATAAGAATTAACTTTAAACTGAGTTCAACTAAGCCCCTCCTTTATAACATTAATCTTCGAGACTAATGATTTGTCAACCACTCCAGTTTGCTTCATTAATCTACCATGTACTTAATTACTATCATAAGACATTACAAATTTTCCAAAATAAGTCTAGCCATGAAAATTATAACATCCCCAAAATACCTCAAATTTAAGCTGCTTAACCATAGAACCTGGAAGCAAATTGTTCCTAAAATTTGGTGATTGGATAGTGACATACTTTAAAGATCTAGGAATAACTGATACATATATATAAATCATATTACATATGAGTACAATGGCAAGATGATGTTAGAAATAAGATTAAAATAGGTTCTAGATGCAAATATGTTAAAATCACTAGAATACCTTGACATGGAATTGAAACTGATGCCAATTCATCTTGTGGAGATATGATAGAAACCTGGCCTACCTCTATCACGTTCAACTCACTGACACTTTCCAGATTATTTCAATTCTGCTGGTTATCAACCCAGAATTTTCAGTCAACCAATTCTAACTAAAATACTACTCTCAATGGAACACAACAATGCTGGACAGATTTGATAATTGTACTCAATGACAAATCAAAGCAAATTCTATTAAGATAACAATTCTTTATAACTCAAATAAAGCAATAATCAATTAAATGAGAAAAGCAGCTCATCCAGGATGATTCTGCTAACAATAAGAACCCATTGGACTTTGAGAGCCAGCATCTCCCCAAATCCCTTCCCTCTACAAAATTCCCTGCTCTACAGATCCTTCCCGCTACCTTTTATTCTTCGTGCTCTATTGTTGTAACTAAATTCAGCTCCCCAACCACTCAGCATTTGCCACTTGTCACTTTCCCATAAACCCAAAACAACCCTCCATCACACTCAAAGCCTGACCTAAGTCCCTCAATCCTCTGTTTACGCCCTTATTTTTCCTCCTATATACCAAGGTATTGTTAGTCTCACCAAGATATCACCAATGTAGCCTCATAATGTGGTTGGATCATGTCCAACTCATAGCTTTCAATCAGAATATCCTATAGAATTAGGATAACTTAAAAAAGGAGCTAATGCACACCAAAAACATATTAACACTATTTAAATAAGAGGTACTTCTTTAAAAAGGCACATAAAAGATATTCATGTGTGAACTCATAGCTCAATATTAAGAGTCAATTTATTAGCTGAAATGTCTATCTTGAACTTGTCTACATGCATATTCACACTCTTGCTAGTATTAAGTTTGACTATCACCCTCGTAACAAATGCAAATGGAATCCAATTATCATAGATGTCATAGCACGCCATGGATAAAGGTGGAAAGCATGAACCAACTATGTGGAAAGTGGTCATTTTATGAGAAAAGGGGGAATATAAGAGGTTATGAAGTCTAATTAGAAATGCTAGTTAAGAGAAAAATAATAGGAGGAAGAAACTCCCTAAGAAGCATAAAAATATGCACGACAATTGATGTGAAAGGTAAATAGAATTATTAGGTAACTACTTAAACCAAAAGTTTAAGCTTATAGGTTTAGGCCCAATGATAATATTTAAGCTATAAAGTCTCGACATGCGTAATGCAGGTTAAAAGATGCAAAGATGATGATTTTCTAGTCTTTAATCCTATTTAGAGAGTGTATTGAGATTGAGTGGATGATAAAGAGTATCATACTTAACTCTAGGAATGAGCCAATAAAATTGCTTTTCGTCTGTCTACAATACACCTAGGATGGGAAATTGTGCAATTCATTCTTATGCAATATAGGAAGCATCTTGTAATAACTTATTTGGGCTTCTTATCATCCCTTATTTTGTACTCTAGGCTTAAGACTAGCGAAGAATAACGTTACCCAAAGTTTCTTCAAAATTTTGTATGAATGAGCTATCTCAACCAAAAGATGGAAAGAATTTTATTGTGAGTTTCATGAACATAAAAATTGATAAGCTGATTCGTTAAAAGTTTTCTTACCTAACACAGAACTTTGGGCTCTGTTTACAACTCAACAATCTCCAATTTCCAACCTTAGAAGATACCTTAACTACCACCTATCTCTCACAACTCTTACAGCTTGACTGAGGCTAAAGCATAAAATTTCATCATATCAGGTTATATAATCATAAAACACAAGAAACGATATCATATTATATTGTAACGATCAAAAAGAGCTAAGAATCTTTTGTATCACTTACAAGGTGGAATGAAAACCTATACATCCTAGCATGCTAAAAGAAGTTTGGTAACTTGCACCCAAATTCAAATATATATAAACCTTGATACCCGTTTGTAGAAGTAGGTGGTACACCAGCTACGTAGATGTTGATACCCTTTTGAATATTCTTCCTTTCACCTATGAATCTGACTTCCATGATCATCTCTAAATTATTCTTAACAATGTGCTTTTGGTCCAACTTCTTTGAAGCACTAGAACAAACAACATTGGCAGGCCGAACAACAGCCACAAATTCTCTAGTAGGAACTTCTCCACCTTTAGCACTGAAAGGTAATGCCTGAAACAGAAACTACTTAGTTGTGATTAAATACCTTGATGGAAGAGAAAAGAAAGGGATTGAATTTTTGTTCCTCAGGCTAAGTGCCAAAAGAAAGGGAGAATATTTTTACATATATACAAGATGTGACATTCTATATTTATGAATTTCTAGATAACTTAATCATTGTTCTCATCCTTGATAAACCAAAATAAGAGAAGTTTGATGAATACAGACCCTATTAACTAAGTTTTGTTCAACAAGTCAATCAAAGCAGGAGTTTTCTGACGTTGCTTCTCTAGTTGCAGTTCCCAATCAATATTGTCAATAAATACACATTAATGCCAATGACAAAAAAATTAATAAATACCTACTCTCAAGTAAAATTTGCAAATATCAAAGAAATAGAAATGCACGCAGCAATAAATAGAAAATTGAAACTAAATGGAAAACCTTTCCAGAATCAATTATGCCAATAGGTGACGATAAGGAGCCAAAAATATCAATCCAAGCTGATAGCCCCATTGTTCTCCACGAGGACACATCCTTCCTTATCCATCAGACCTATTGGCCTTTCAGACCATAAAAGATATTAGACATCACATGTTTATGAAACAAAATATAGAAGGATTATATTTATACACTAAAAATAGAACTTTTAGAGCCACAAATGCGCAAGATAGCGTACCTGCATATGATTTAACCAGCCAAAAAATAAAACAGTTTTTAAGTTTGGAAGGTTAAATATTGATTACAGATGTTATAGGGATCTTCATCTTCCCAATGAAGTAATGGTGGCATACTACAATCATGTTTACATGTGATTAATACAGTTTCTGCCTCTGCATGCTACCATTTGTGTAACACCTCCTCTTTACTACTATTCTTATAATACATACTGTGTAAATTATAGATATACATAGCGTATGAAAGATAGTGGGCTCAAATTTTTCTTTACTCATAAAAACATGATTCTTTACAAATACAAAATACTATGTATTAAAAACTTTCTAATTAATATAAAATATCATAGCTGGTGGACAGTGTGCCAATACTCTCCGCTCCTCGACGTCCATCCTACCGCTGCTCCTATTTCCTGCAAAACAGAGAAGAACAACGGGGTGAGCACCACAATGCTCAGTAAGTAAATCCTCTACTACCTGTCCCCGCAACTCACTCTTTGGTTCTTTCCTTACTCTACCGTTCTTCTATTTCTAATTCTCACTGTTTTTCTCTTTCTTTCTAATACTTTTATTCTCCTTTAACTCAGTTCTGCTCTTTTTATTCTTTCTTTCTCTTTGTTCTTATTCTTTTTTCTCCTTCTCTTATTCTTACTCACCATGAAGGAAACTCATGGTTCTCTCTTGTTCTCGTCATACTCACCATGAAGGAAATTCATGGTTCTCGCTCTTATTCTCATCATACTCACCATGAAGGAAAATCATGGTGCATGCCTGTATGAGCTATACATGCAATTAATACAAACGAACTGCATGTTTCTCTCTTCTACTCTCTATTCTTACTAGCTCAAACTTTCTCATTCTTTCTCATACTCTCTTTCTCTTCCTATCTCATTCTTTCTCAAGCTTTCTCATTCTTTAATTCTTTCTATTATCTCATTCTCATTCTCATTTCTGTTTCTCTTTCTCATAACTCTTTTCTGTTAATTTTCTGTTGTAGGTTACGGCCTCATCTTACCGGAAGCACGGCTGGGTACTTATCCCACTTTTCGTAACCCTACTCATTGTCTCTCTTTATTCTTTCTCATGTTTACTCATCTCTTTCTCAAGCTAGTACTCATAATATAGCCTAACTCTTAGCTTTTCTCTGTTCTCTTTCTGTTTCTGTTTCTCATATTCTTTGCTATACACCTTCTGATGTATGTCACGACCTCATCTTACCGGAGGCATGGCCGGGAACTCAACCTGCTTTTCGTGACTTTACTCTTTTTCTCTTTCTGTTCTTTCTCATTCTTACTCATTAGAATGTCACAACCTCATCTGACCGGAGGCACGGCTGGGCGCTACCACTCTACGTGACTTCTGCTCATTTCTCTACCGATCGGATTTGTCATGCATGGATTCGGAACCCTTGGCCATGTGAGTGTACATACTTTCTCTCTATCTCTCAAATGTCACGACCCCTTCTTACCGGAGGCATGGCTGGAACCTCATGTTCCACTCTATGTGACGGTCACGGCCTCATCTGACCGGAGGCACGGCTAGGGATCACAAAGCACCCACTCTCATGACTCTACTCATCACTCACGGGTTCCCCATCGCACAACTTACTCTATTCTCTTCTTTAACTCTTGTGCACAAGATCTCTACTCTTTCTCTAGCTACTCATCATAATGTAGCTTAACTCTTAGAGTAATTCTCTACTCTTTCTCAACTTTTTCTCAAGTTCTTTCTCAATGCACACTTAATGCATATGGATGGTTCATGCTCATTAATGCACTTAGGAAATGCCAATATGCAATGTTGCTCTAAAATCGTCATTCTGTACAGGTCACACTAAAAAGGGTATAACTTGCGTTATACACATCAGATTGCTATGGTTTTGGTCTCGTTTTAAAGCTTATAGACAGGGCTATAATTTTTATGTTTTGGTCTAAACCCAGTTAAATCCGTAAGATGCCCAAAAATTACTCAGAAAGTCACGACTGTGACAAGGTAGTTTCTCACTTAGGCATTTCATCAAACGACTCATGTGCCTATCAAACTCTTCTCTACTTA